TGAATTCTAATTTACTACTATCATAATTAAAATTGAATTTGTAATTACAAAATTAAAAAAAAAATTTTATACTTATACCAACTCGTAATGGAATTTTCTGAGAATTTGAAGCAATTTTTTGAAACTTATGACGAACCTATTCTTTTTTTAGAATCAGATCATGGTGAAATTAATAAGGATTCATACTCTGATAAAGAATCAGAGAGTACAAGTAATGAAGACACCGAATCTAAGGATCCTAATAAATCTCTTACAATAGCTATAAAAAACCTTATTGATCAACTTCTAAAGTGTTGTAAATGTGAAAAAAATTGTAGTAAGAAGATTTCGTTAGAGTTATTAGAATCTTTAGCGTTAGAAAGTATTACTATAGACAAAAATAAATGTTACTCTGCAATGTCAATACTTCTTACTACTTCTAATCCTGATTTATACAAACAAAAAAATATTCCTAGAAACTATCAACTTCCTTATTTTGGTGAAATTTGTCTTAATTTTTTTCAAACATTTTGGATGTATAGTAAAAAATCTATTGACCGTCTCTGTAAATGGATTTGAGAAAGTAAATCAATGTTACCCAAACCTCATGGTAATATTGGTTGTCAATCTAAAAATATCTTACCTGTTGAAACTGTTAATAAAGCTAAGGTTTTTATTAAATTGATCAGTGATAAACATGGCAAAAAACAAGCTGTTCGAAAATATATATGTAAAAAAAAAGATGGAGAAATAACTGTAAATTATGAAAAAGATGATATTATTCTTTTGTCGTTTCATTATTCTTATGATCGACTTCTCGATCTTTACAATTCAACAAATCAAGAAAACTGCATTAATAGCCGTTGAACTTTTCGACAACTATGGAAAAATAATGCTGAGCTTAGTAAAATAATAATAAGAAAACCATCAAAAGACGTATGCGACGAATGCACTTTATACAAACGTACATTAAAAAAAGTGATAATAGGGTAAATGAAAACTTTGATAAGCAATTAATAACCCATATATCAGATTATTAGAAAATGCGTGAGACCTATGAAGATGATACAAAAGAAGCAAAAGACTGTGATCGTTCTTCTTTGCGCATTTTTTTATTTGACTTTGCCCAAAATATGAAATTACCTTATAACCCTCAACAGCCTGGTGCATGGTATTATCTATTATTGCTAAAGGTACATCAATTTGGCTTAGTAAACAAAAACATTGACAAACACTGGCATGCAATTTATACCGAAAGTAAAGTATCGAAAGATCCAAATGAAGTTACTTTGATGTTGCACCAATTTCTTGTTTCTGCAGCAGGTAAAACAAAAGAAATTAGACTATAGGCAGATAATTGTGATGACCAAAATAAAAATTTATGCTTACTTTGGTATCTTCTTTGGTTATGTGATGTTAAAATATTTCAAAAAATCAATTATCGATTTCAAATCAAAGACCATACAAGAAATTCTGTTGATCATGGATTTGGCTGTACTAAGATAGAGTATGCAAAGTCAGAAGCTTGGTGTATTGACCACCTCATTGATATAATAAACAGAAGTGCGGGTAATAATATTTCTGTAAATTTAGAAGAACAAACTGGACTCTTCCGTGATTGGACCTCT